ATAAACTCAGTTATGCTTTACATCCATGTAGCCTGAAGGAGACTTTACTCTGTATTTTTATTACACCTACAATCTAGACAACAGTTAATCTCCACCACATGAAGTCAGATGTGGAGTTCCACTTGTGGACTATAGACTTTCCAAGTAGGGATACCCAACCTTACTTTAAATATTTATCATCTTACATGTTATGAAAGACTTGCCGATATGCAGCCAGGAATAAAACTCTACATACGAGACAAACACCTAAGCAGTGGGAAAGTAAAGGCATAAGCAACTACTGCAACTTAGGCTAGGGCTCTCACCCACCATCGGTCACCAAGATGCGTCAGGATAAAGGTCTTTCTCGATGGCTCTAAAACCTGGGCATCTGGATCGCAAGGGTGACTCTGGGCTCTATCTTGTATGTGCCCAATGGCTTCTGAGGCTTTCCAGATGTACACAGTGTCCCCTTGTGAATGGGACCAAGACAGAGGCTTTAGTCACTTGAAGTCACTAAAAGCCTCATCCATGGTTATTTCCCCACCATTTGGGATGTTAGCCACCAAGCCTTGGCCGCTTTCCAGTCTGGATAATTACATGAAGCTTGCAAACTTCACTCTCCAGTGCCAACTAAATAAAGTATTCCTTCGGACTTACAGCCATAACCTTTGTTATGTTGCCGTAGCTCTTAAAGAGCTGCTGTATACTAGAGATGACTATATTTGTGAAAAAAAAATCAATAATCCTTGTGTGATTCTTTACACCGGCAGAAAGTATACCCCAAAATATTACTGGCGAGGATAGCTATTTCAGATCTTTTATTATAAAACCTTTTAGAAAATGACAGTACTGTCTTCTCCATATTCTAAGCTTCTGCTTTTCCTTGGTGGAAGACTGAAATATTTGCATTATTACACAAAGAAGTAAGGAAGATGGACTAACCCCACAGAGCACATCTGGAGTGTCTCCCCATACCATGCTCTGCTGAAGGTTCCAGGTGCTACAGTTGGTTATATTATCAAAGTAACTGTACAGACTTTCCAAAAGGAATTCAATTCATCCTTTCTGTGCCATTCCGTTTTGAAAAATCTGAGTATTTCACCTTCACCTTAAATATGACCACACACAGATCTTCTAGTCAAAACTACTTCTGTCTCCAAGAGTCTACAGACCTTTCAACTTCATAGGCATGCAGATGTGCACAGACATAAACTGATTTCCAACACTGGAAGGAGATGCTTGGCTGGCTAGCCTGCAGGGTGGCAACGGCAAGCTGCTTATGCATTTACTTGTTTGTTTTCAGTAATAATCCTATTTTGGTGGGTGAGAGTTTGCAGGTTCTAAGAGAAGATGATGACATAAGGAAATTGAAACTCTAAACTCCTTTTATTTAAACTATCTCTTAAACACAGAAAAAAAAAAGAGCAAACTGACTCCAACTATATTCTATCACAAGGATATAAACAGTGAAAGGAAAAGGCATTAAGTGTTGTATACAATTTGTACCTATAAACACATTATCTTACATGAGAAAATAGGAAAGGGAAACTAAAGTCCAAGATCGCAGCAAATTAAATGTGTGACTATCAAACATTTAACATTGTGCTACACAAATGCACTTAAAAATGCTTCAGATTTTTCCCCCTAAATAACCTTGAAATTTACATTAATCTCCAAAGTTCCAAAATAAATACCTATCATGGACAAACTATACTCAGACAGCAGAAAATGTTAGATGTTTTTATTTGGGTAAACCAGTGAGGTTCACTTGAAATCTGCGAAGCTATGATTGTTTGAAAACCTTTCTAGCCAGAACAAATTAATAGCAGGCTTCTAAAACTATATTAGACATGCTGCAAATCTATTTATCCCCCCTACCAATCTGCTAAAGTGCATCTTGTCCGGTGAGAATGTCTCTTCAATTGTACTTAATATTGTCACTATATTGCTCCCCCAATCGGTCCACTTTTGGGTTCTCTACTGAAGTGTTGTATCATAGCTCAATGCTTACTCTTCTCATCAATGACAGGCAATGAGAATACAGTCTTTACCAGCAAAAAGAACCTCAAAATGTATCATGCATGTAATACATTTCCTAAGATTAGAAGAAATGGTAGAATCATGCATAAGTGCTCTAAGTTTGCCACCAATAATATGTTCATGATCGTTTTTGAGTTTGAGAACAATCTGGACTACAACCATCTAGGCCTTTAGAAACTTCTACCAATATGTAGGACCCCTGGAGGGATGGCTTTGCTAAAACTCGAAAATGAATATAACACAGTACATTGAGTTCCACCCTCACTAAAGACACTAGATCATGTGTGTTGTAGGAAAGGAAGCTACTATAACTCATCTACTGTAATATCTACACTCTTGGAGAAAGACAAACTGACCAACATAATCTTGAATCCCATTACTGTCAAAATTTGCACACTGGGGCTGTCGATGCAGTCAGGGAATTACTTGCTGCACAAGCATAAAGACCTGAATTTGTTGAAAATCAAAACCAAGATCACATATAATTAAAAAAAAAAATAGCAGTGTGTCCTTGTAATCCTAGCACTAGGGACGTGGAGATGAGTGCACTATCCCTGGGGCTCTCTGGTCAGCCAGTCGAACCTAATCAGCAAGCCTGAGGCCAGCAAGAGAGCCGGTCTCAGAAAGCAAAGTGGAGTGCACTTAGACAGATGGGACAACATCCAAGTATGCCTGCCTTCTGGTCTGTGCATGAGAATGAACCTGTACACAAAGGGACAGACGGACAGACACACACACACACACACACACACACACACACACACACACGCACACACAAGCACGTGCCTCCTGTGGGTTGTCACTGGGCTGTCGCATCTCCTTGTGCCTCAGCAATGCTTAGAATTAAATGGCTGAACTAGAGTATCGCTCTTCACTCCCCTTTTAGCAGTGAAAGGCTGCCATCTATTCACAGACCTGACACAAGTTTTTATAACATCCCCAAAGCGCCTGACAGTGGCACACGTGTGGGACGGTTCCGAGTGGGAGAATGAGCAGGGCCTAACCTCCCTCCCAATTTGGTTTTCTGTTTACACCAGGCTTAAGAGGGCACTCGAAATTAGCTGCTTCAAGTCATTCAACAATAACTACATAATTCTTACCACACCAAACATTCAAACTTACCTTAGTAACAGTTTAGGAAAGAGATAGGTCCACCTGTCTGAAATGAAACTTGTAGGTGTGTCTGATGTGGAAGGCTTCGATGCCTGAGCTACAGGCTGAGTATCAGGATGTGCAAGCAGCTGTCCCTGCTTTGTTTTTCATTCACAGTAGGTGGTTGCCTGGCAACAAAATACTATTGTCTGTTTCTGTGATCTATTGGCCAATTCTACTGGTGATAATGCTTTTACAGTTTAAAACAGGGCCACCTTTCGGACAAGGAGAGATAAGCAAAAATTCTAAGGCTGACATATATATATATATCTCAATCATGTGTCCTAAAATTATGTGTATTGATTTATGACTTGTATGCAGATACCAATATATATTTTTTCACATATGGTTGTACTATTATATACATTCTTTCCTAGTCTACACACATCTAGATTTTGAAGGCCCACAGCAAGCGTCTAAATCCATGTGGGAAAATCAGAGCATGAACTAGAGAAATAAAACCACAGTAAGAGAATAATTTTCCCAGCAACAGCAATGACTGTAGATTTGTCAGATGTGTCAAACCCTGTTCCTTGAATATGAAACCCTCCAGACAGCAAGGCTCTTCTTCCTACTTATATAATAGTAATGGGAAAGCTTTGCCATCTCCTTTGATCATCTCGCATATTAAACAAGCTGTTTTACTTAATGTGTGCTGCCAATGCCTTCAAAGATCATTCAACTAGTGTTGCTGTTTACACATAGGAATCTTTCAAATTTATTCATCTTAAAAATAATTGACTTGTTCTCTCTGGAATAGTCTCACATGATTCTGCACTTTGTTTGTATATGAGTCCCCGGGGAATTATAGTCATGCTATGTTCCTCTTGAATATTTCACCGGCTTACACATAAAATAAAACACAGTGTACTCAATATAAAGTTGTCAACATTACCCTGCATCCGTTGCTGCTTGCTTCCCTTTGACAAGGCTACTAAAGATAAGAATTACAATATTCTTAAGATGTAGACACAACATCAAAACAGCCTGAAGGAATTAAAGATCAACAATGCTAGAGGCAACTGGGCTTTGAAATGAAGTGAAATCGAAGTCATTTACACGCATTTCTGGTACGGAACTACACAATGTCAGGACAGTCTCTGGATTTTACACAATGCCCATCCGTCTTCTCTCACGATATTTCAAAAGCACTTTAACTAATGCTTCCCTCTAGAGGGATGAAATTCATTGCCATTTGCAAATCTGCATATTACCAGAAAGCGGAATAATCAATATCCATTATGTGGGCAGACACTATTATTATAAGTCTCCTATCAAAAGTGCAACGACAGCAAAACAAAAGCAAAGTGTGTTAATCACTACCTAAGTACTAGACAAAAAATACTACTTTTCCAGAGAGCGGTGATCTTTAGCAGAATGCAGCTACTTCCCAGTAGAGTTCACGGACCTCACATCCCAACCTACAAATGACCCACCACTTCCTTCTTCTTTGGTTTCTTAAGCACCAGGGTCTCCCCATCAATCAATTTCCTTTCTCTTTTCTCCACCCTCTTCAGATCCCTTAAGCATCCTTCATAACTTCCTCCAAAGGACCAAACTCAGATCTTCAGCCCAGCTTGCTGTGACTCTTCTCTTTTGCACTTGTTTCCTGCATTCTTCTAAAGCTACTTTGAAAAATCGCTACCACTGAACAAACACAATCTTAGCAAAATTTAAAAATGTGTAAGGTTGTAACAGTGGAAGACTGCTGAAGGGGAAGTAAGGCGAAAGGTGGAGAGTGCAGGAAGGAGGGTGGCTGGGCTGTACACACGGGAATGCCTACATCCTAGAACTGGGTTTCCCCACCTGTCGACCCCACTTCCCCCATGTGCTCGCTGCAGGATGACAACCACAACACTCCAGAACCACCCCCCTCTAAGGAGGCGGGGTTACACCATCAGCCAATCAGAGCCTGCGATCCCGGGTGTCCAACCTATGGGGTGGCCATGGCTGTGCAGGGGGAGGACATGGGGTGGTCCGGGAGGGGCCGCGTCCGTGGGAGGAGTGCACGTGTCCAGAGAGGCTGGGAACCCGCGAGCGTCCAGCTGCCGAGGCGCCCGCCCGGTGTCCGAGTCCAGCTGCCCAGTGCGGTCTTGGACTGGGCAAGGCAGGCGATCGTCCGCCGAGTGAGACCTGTCCATGTGTCCAGTTCCCAGAGAGAGGGACCGACACAAATAACAACAATAGTGCCTCGCGCAGACCGGGCGGGGAGGAAAGTTTCTGGCCCGCGCCAGAGTGGAGACAGCCACGGCAGGGAGATGCTATGCAAGACAGGAGGGTGACACTGTGCTAAGAAGGGGACAACCGGAGGGCTGCGCGGGCAGGACGGGGTCCCGGGCGCGGTCCCCCGGAGGCGAACCGCGGGGTGCGCTGTCCAAGGTGCAAGGGAGGCGGTTGGTGCGTGGCAGGCGCGGAGCCGGAGCGGACACTAGCCAGCCAGCGGCAAAAAGAGCGGAGAGCAGCTGTTTGGGGCGCCGGGCACCCCCAGCTCATAAAAGTGCGGGAGCCCGGGGAGCGGTGGCGAAGGGCGCAGGGGGCTCCCCCACTCCGCTGCCTTCCAGCCTCACCTCCAGCTCCGTTCCCCTCCCCCCTCGCCCACTCCTCTCCGTGCCTTGTCCCCGGGCCGCGGCGGGGGCGGGACCGGGAACCCGGCCCCCCACCCCCCGGACTGCCAGTCCCGACGCCCCGGGGATGCTGCGGGCCGCGGAGCCGCTTACCTGGGGCCACGGTGCGGGGATTCAAGGCAAGCGAGCGCGGGGCGCGGCGCGGCTCCTCCTCGCCTCGGCGTCTCCTCCGGATCGCGCTTCTGCCGGACTCCGTCCGGGGCTCAGAGCAGCCAGACGGGGCCAGACTGCGGCCGCCGCTCGCGCCGCCGCCGCTGCCGCAGACAGAGGACGCCCCGTGGCGGCTGGAAGCCTGTGTGAGTAGCAGCGCCCGGGAGAGTGGGATCTGCTCAGGGGCGCTGGAGACTCCGCGGCTCGGGGCGCGCGGGCGTGCGCACGCGCGCCTGCCAGTGTGAGTGAGTGTGCGCGCGCGCGCCCAGGGGTGGGGGGGAGTCGCTCGCGAGGGGCGGGGGCGGGGGGGGAGCGGAGCGGAGAGATGCTCGCAGGGACCGAGGCAAAATTCGTCGCCCCCGGAAATCCGTAAAGCGGAGGAAGGATGGGCCGCCTGTCTTCGCCCAGAGGAGCTGCTGGCCCCGTGGTGAAGCCAGTTAAGAAGGCAGCCTGGCGCGCTCCAGCTCGTGATCCCCGCCGGCCAGGGGACGGCGGAGCGCTGGGCCACTGATGCTGCACAAGTCGCTTCCGCAGCACAGGATCGCGCTATTCCCCCCCCCGGGGGGGGGATACTTGCTCGAGCCACTGCTGCCGGTTTGGATTTCCAGGCTGGACGTTCAGAGACTGGTCCTGGTGCCCCATGGTTACCATGGCGACCTTGGAGGAGCCAGGCCGGAGCCAGGGGGTGTAAGGGAACTCGGGTGCAGGCGGTGGTCTCCGGGCCCCAAGCGTGGAGTGCACTGCATAGTCCGCCACAGTCTAAGGTTGAGCCTGGACAGAGAGGGTGTACTCTGGCTATTAGGTTGCCTCAGCAGGGGTTGGGAGCAAGGCAGAAGAAATGTTACCTTTTGTTCTCCTTTGAAGCCACTTTCCCTTAAAGTTATCCACTTTTCACACACACACACACACACACACACACACACACACACACACACACACACAAGCCAGCTTTCTCTTTGTTAGGATTCTGCCAACCATCTGGGCAGACAAGTAGTGCATCTTTCAAATAGTGGTGGTCCAAGAACTTCTTAATCACTAGAGCGCCCTGACACCTTAGAAATTATGGTTAAATCACTTATCTGTCCTATTCTTAAGCGATATATCGACCTGTCAGTATATTTCTCCATGCTTATTTTTTAAATAGGTAGACTTTATTCACCCAATAGTTCCTTCTAGGAATGTAAGGTCTGTGTAACAGTCGGCATGTCCTTCCTGGCTGCAATCCTCAAGCCCGGGTTGTGTTTTTACACTTCTGCCTGCCCTCCAGTACTTGCACGGTGCCACTGTATATCATGTGTTCTCTATAAATGTTGAATGAATGACATTGTTTTCTGGCTTCACATATCCCGAAGGCAGAAACTTGGATGCTGGGAATGTCATTACCATCCCACTAGGCTTGCCTGATTTAAACTTATGCCAGTTCCCTGTGTGAAGGCTATTTTCCCCTCTGGCTACAGGGCCCCAGTACAAAGAAGGAAAATAAGAGAATGCTGACCCATTGTGCAAATTTATCAAAAGATTCACGCAAAGAGCACTCAGAACGGAACTCAGCGATAGATTCTGCATGAGAGACGGATAGAGTTTCTGGGGGATACCTAACCTCACAAAACAGCAAAGTCACCAAGTCATACATACACACCATGCAGTTTATGTGTGAACTTTACCCTTCTGTGGTAAAGGGTAGGAAAGGAGATTTTAAAATGTTTCTAAAAGCTGGTCAGAGGCAAACCTGTCCCTCGTCGGTGCCCATGCTTTACAAGGTCACTGGGGACTGCTAATTCTGTGGCTGCATCGGGCTCCCTTCCTTCAATCTCAGCACTTCCAGTCATCTTCTTAGAAGCAGAAGTACTCAATTTCACATTCCATGCTCAATTTCAGTTCCTTTGAACTCAGGCTCTTCTATGAGCTGCCTCGCTTGCCAGTCATGATGCCACAGCTGTGAACTATAACTAAAATAAAGTGAAAATTAAAAAAGGATTTATCTGGATGCTGCCAAAGAAATCCATTTTCTGTTTTCTCTTAGGGGTACCTTTCAATGACATCTCCACTGCCATTCCATTTACAGCCTTCTTAGGAGACGTTTACTGTGATCTTGGGATGCTTGTTATTTTGTTAAATAGGAAGTTTAGGTTATCTAAAACTTTTACTTGAAAGGAATTACTAAAACTCATGAACAGATGTGCAGAATGAACCCCTGACAGCCGAACTAGTCAACAAATGTAAGGCAAAGTGTTCAAGATAATTTCCAAGGGGCTTGTGACGTTACAACAGTTTTCAACATGCTCATCTCACCTGCTAGTGTGGGAGAGTGTTAGCAAAGCTGTAACTTGTCCAAATATCTTGTCACCACCAAGGTAAGTATGAGGCCAATGTCTTAGACAATGGCACACAACAGTTATACCTTACCTCTGTTTAAAAGATACATCATAGAAATGGAAAAACAAACAATGGAAAAGAAGACTAACAATCTCAAACATTTAATATTTCTGACTGACTTAGTGATACATTTCAGGGATGGGGAGAAGGCTCAGCTGTTAAGAGCATTCACTGCTCTTGGACAGGGGCCAGGCTTGGTTCCTGGTGCCCACTGTCACTGTTAACAGTTACAAACACTTGTGACTCCAGCTCTAGGGAGATCCAGTACCTCTGGCCTCCTGAGGCACCTGCATTCATGATCACAAACTTACATGCAAGACATATACTTACACAAAATTGAAAGTAATAAAATAAGTATGTTTAAAAGACAAAAGTTGGGGGGAGTAATGAGGATTAAAATACCAATCTCTAGATCTCTGTGCTTTTTAAGTAGTAGGCAATGATGAAATGTATAACGCTGTAGAAAGGATGCTTAACGTAACAGCTCTTCTTCTTGGTTACACTATAGTTGCCACAAAGCAGTCAAATATTAACTTCTTCAGAAACACAGGGCTGTGACAGAGAGCCTGGAGGCAAACATAGCTGATTTGGTCAGGCCTGATCAGTCTATCTGTCTAAATGAAAAGCCAGCAGCTTCCACCTCCAAAGACCAGCAGATTTTGGCAAGATGTTCTGCAAATTTCAAAATCCACTCCTCTTCCTGGGAGGAGAACACTGCCTGAAATTCTCTGAAGTGAGAAGGCAGGAACCGTTAGCTAAAGTATGGTTGTGGTTTTGGTGGCTGTGAGCTCGCATAAGAACGCAGGTAATTTCCCTCATAATTAGGTTCCAGATTATTTAGTCCACTTGGGTTTTAAATGATAAAAAAGAACCTTGATCAGCACCTAAAATCAAAGTGCCAACTCACTACAGAATGGAGCCTTGAACAAGGAGCAGGCTCAAGTTACTTAATTTATACCCATACTGTTACTGTTAGCACAGTCTTAGTCCAGAGACTTTTTAGGGAAACTTGATTCTGCCCAGATGTTAGACATCATGAGAAAAGGAAAAGACTGAAAAGACACTTATAGCTTATTCCAAGCAGAAGTAGACAAATACCTGTTTCAGCCTAATATCAGTGCTGATAACTGGGTACAATGGGCATGGTGCATGGTGACCATTCTAATGCTTAATATAGATCCTTTTGCACATTGTCAATTTGTGGCTAAAGGAAAGCAAAAGTGACTTACTAGTATCTCATTCTTTTTCTCATACCCAAAAGGGTAAAATTTATTATATGTGTGTGCATATATATATACATGATATATGATATATAATTATATATTTATAATAAACCTCCCTTTTAAAAAAGTTTCAAACAAAGCCTTGACTTTCCTTGCTGACTTTGACTTGGTCCTTTTATGTGCTCTCAGTTTTCAGCTCTGTCTTATCTCTTTCGGGTTCTTTATTTTTAATCTAATGACTTCCTTGTCAGTATGAAGATGCATATGCAGACCAGTAAGGGAGACAAGTGCTTACTGAGTATCTACTATATAATCAGCTCTGCCCTTCTCACTTGTGAGCAATAGAAATGAGGTGGTTTGCCCTGAGGACAAACCAAAGTTTAGCTTGCACTATTCTTAAGGATAAAACAGAGTGAACATATGCAAATAAACTTGTATTTTAATTCCCAAAGGGAACTAACAAAGCTGTTGTCAAGTAGACCATTTGGTCAATGATTGAACATTAGTGGCCAAGTCTACACTCATATTTCCACATTCATACTCACTTATGGTAAGGATCTAAATGATCATAGCTCCTGCTGTAATCTGAGCTTAAACTGAAGGTGTGAAGAATGCTGACAAGTTAGGAAGGATGGTGTTGACAGAGGCAGGTGTGGGTCGCCTATCTTTGAGGATCCCTAGGCAGCAAGGCATAGATTAGAATATGCTGGAGCTTATATTAACCTAGCTCTAATTTGTAGAGCCACCATACATTTTGAAATCTACCTGTGAAGGCCCAGCAATCCATTTTTGGATAATTTTTCATATACGATTGTATTACTGATGTCCTTAGAACATGTAATTTTCTTCATGCCCAGTTTATTTTTACTTATTAATAGAGATATTTTTAGTTAATATAACTTTTAAAATACAATTTTCTAGTAATTAATAGAAAAGCAGTAATCCACAGAAACAACATTTTTAGTGGTAGGAAGCAGTATAATAAAGATGCCTTTCCCACTTAGTATAGGGTACCATTACCGTAAAGTTACATAATCAAGGCTGTAGACAGTCCAGCCATTCATGTATTGAACACCTACATATTCTGCCTTTCTATAGGCTTCAGAGGTTGCATCAGGGTGAGCCAGGACTGTCATGCTTGCCCTTTGACCTTTTTAGAGAATAGCACAGGACACTCTCTACCATAAAATCTAAGTTCAAATCCCATTTCAATCAGTGCCCTGCTATGTGACCTTGGAGGCCTACCACACTTCTCTCGCCATGCCTGCACAAGCTGGATAACACCTTCCTTACATGTTTGTTAAGAAAATTCCATGAAGCAATATGAGATGGACTCCCTGGAATTGTAGAATATTGGCTCTGCATCAAGCATTTGGCAGGAACTTGGAAGACAGACATGACTGAGAAATTCCTGAAACCAGGGTGGCAACTTTTGCAGTGCACCAGGGAACGGGGTGGATGATTCCTGGGAGCTCTTTCCAAAGGTATTTTAAGAAAACCTCCACAACCAAAAGTTGGCAGAAAGTGACACATTCAGGAAATTGCAGATTCCATATTCTAGAGGTGCTGTAATTCTGTAAATTCTGCTACTATTGCAAAACGCCAAGCCTTTCTGTTCATCTGTTTTTAATTACTATGTTTTTTTCTCTATTACACGCATTCTGATTCCCTAGTGATGTTTTGCCCCCTAATTTAACTATGAAAACATTCATCTTCCAGATTAATACCAATGTTTAAAATTCCTTTCTTAAAAAAATAAGTTCACTGCCTACAGATATACTCCCTGGGAGAAAAAAGTAAGCAATACAAAAATATATAAAAAAAAATGCAGAAACATTACCTCATAGGGGCCTTATCGTGGTTCATATTTTAATGTGCATCCTCACAGACATTTGCTTATACTTATTTTCTTTAAATGTTATTTAGGTAAAAGTAGTAGCTATTAAATGTTATCATTTTAGCAAGAAAATAAGTTAAAGACATTAATTTTTAAAAAAGTTCAAAAACTCCCCATTCACTTTCTTTTTCAAGCTGGGCTTCTTACTCAAAGCAGTCCTTGGAAAGGGGATTTTAAATGGGCATCCTTGAAACCTTACATTGCTACTTCTCTGCTTCTGCCATATCTAACACTGAGTCCTTCTTAATGGTCCTTTAAAAGTTTAATTTTACCTTGCTGACGTGTTCTGGAATCACAAGCCATGCTCCTTGGCCTCTGGCCATTCTGTGCAAGCTTTGCATTACTTAACCTCCAGCCCCAGAGCGGGTCCAGCTCTAACCTTGGTCCTGGTACTGCATTCCCTGATGAAGAAGGAAAGAGTCTTGAGTTCAATAAGTAACCAGTGCTCACCGGAGTCACCATCTGTTAGGTCCGCAGAAGGTTGGCTCAGGGGTGGCGAATTATTTAAATATATGTTTTATGTCCATTGCTACAGGCAAAGTGGGGAGAGGTGTCAAAGAGTCCTCACTAATTAATGCAAATGGCAGCTAAATTTCCAATGGACTTGCCTACTTTTGCAGTTTATTTGTTGTGTTTGCCCCCCCCCCAAGGAACTTTTTGTATTTAATAAAAAGTGCAGCAAGGTTGATCATTTTGCTCACTGCCTAGATGGCAACAGGTCTCCAAGGTAAAAATACTTCAAGCCATACCATCCCACTATGCAAATCTGGTTGACTTTCTTAAAATAAATGCCAAACAACTACTGGAAGAAAAGGGTGGGGGGAAGACAAGGAGAAAGGAAGACACATTGGGTGGAATTGCCTATAGGAGTTGCCTTAGTCTCTTTCCCATAGTGATAAAATGCCATGACCAAGGCGACTTAGAGAAGCCTTTATTTGGCTCAGGGTCTAGAGGGATAATCACCCATGATGGACAAAGGGAAGCAGCAGGCAATGCTGGCTGAAGCAACAACTAACTGAGAGCTCACATCTCAGACTGCAAGTGTGAAGCAGAGAGTGCCTGGAAACATCAAAGCCCACCCCCAGGGACACTTCCTCCAGGTAGGTCACACCTACCTGTGTATCTTTATTCTTCCTTGTATTGAGTGCTCTGTGTTTGTTTGCAGAGACCCAAGTCAGGGTGAAAAATGTCTTAGCCAGAGAGACAAACCAGAGTCTGTTTTGAGATAGACTAAATTTATGGCATTGAACCTGAGTAGTAAAAACTAGGGCAGAAATTGAAACATTTGTTAAACCTCATGAGGCAGTGATTCAGAACCAAGTCCAGGATCAGTGAGAAACCATAGAAAGCCCTTCCTTATGTGACATTTCGCTAACATGAAGCCCACAGGGTCCACTTAGTTCCATGTCCTTTGATTACATTAAAACAATAAGACTTTAATTAACATAATGAAACCATATTTGATTATAATGATAAAAATAATTAATGGCTGCTGAGGGGGAGCAAGAGAGAGAAAGACGGAAGGAGAAAGATTGATTAAGTCTTCTTCAGGGACCAGTCCCCAATGGGTTACCCAGTCCCAAATGGTCAGCCCTAAACACACACACAGGAACAACGCTAAGCAGAAGATTATATATGTAATTATGTATGTTAATAATCACAATTATAATTTGTAAAGTTATGAATTTGACAAAGTGGCAGATACAGGAGGGGTTGGAGTGAAGAAAAGAAGGATAGAAATGATGTAAATACAGTATTCATGAACTAAATCATCAAATTAAAATTAAATTTTAATTAGGGAATGTATTATTATTATTATTTACTTGGTTGGCAGTCCTAAAGTTTGTTTTATATACTTAATCCTTGCTGCCACCAGAATGGATATTTATGCTTAATGGTAAGGTAGTCAACATGAAAAGGGGAAATACCAATCATCAGACTGGTCCAGATTTTTTTCACAGGGTATAAACTTGAGAGAGTTTCTCAACCGCACTAAGCCTGGGTTTTCTCATCTGAAAATAGGAATAACTTTGTGTCTTTCTGTCAGGACTTTCTGTAAAGATATGAGACAATACTCAGCACTGCCTTACTTCCTAATGTTGGCATGAATCTAAAGAATATGAGGCGTGTGTAGAGTTTATCCCTCTTCCCACTTGTCTGTTTTTCTGTATTTCTTCAGTCTGTCATCTCTCTCCCTTATTTTTCCAGCCTGACTAGCTATGTCTCTACTCAAAAAGAAACCTATTGCATGAGCTTGAGGATGTCCATTCATTGCAAATAATCTCCCTGTAATAATTGCTGTGTGTAACCTGAAGAATGAAAATGTTATTGAATTGAAGTCTCCAGATATGTGAAGATATGAAAAAGAACAAGCGAATGGAGAAGGCTCACATCTTCCCTGTGCCCTCTATCCAACTCATGCTTCTCCACTCCATTACACCATCAGCTTCCTGAGATG